CCTCAGCACCACATATAAATAAATAAATAAATAAAATAAAGATATTGTGTCCACCTACAACTAAAAAAATATTAAAAAAAAAAAAAAAAAGTAAACCAGGGTCTGAGGTTGAGGCTCAGTGGTAGGACATTTGCCTCTCATGCCTGAGGCCACTAGGTTCAATTCTTAGCACCACATTAAAAAAAAAAAAAGATAAATAAAGATATTGTGTTCATCTATAACTAAAAAAATATATAGTAAAAAGTAAACCATATTTTTGGATTATTCATCTTATTCGCTTCCTTTGTTTGCTTTAACTGTGGACATAGAACTAAACTTTGTTAAGAGCTGAAAGGAGGACTTTGTAAATCAGAAACATTAATTGCTTTCACTACTCCTTGCCAGAAAAAACTGACAATAGAAGGACAAGATAGAAGGAAAGAAGAAAAAAATTGCCATAATTGATCTGATTTCATCAGCCTATTATGATGTCCACTGCTATCTCAGGAYGAGGTGCTATAGTAGTTGGATAGTTCTCCAGAATGTGTCACATGTTCGTTGTGTGACATTCTTATTTGCATTGAAGAGTAATTTCCATACAAATCCATGTCTAAATATACCTATAGAAATATAACAAAAGGGCAAATGTAATTGAGTTTTGGATTTTGCAGTAATTTGAATTTCACAAACATAACCTCATCTGTTTATGTAAGTAATTCAGAATCAAGTATGGTTTTTCTGATTTTTTTCCAAGTTAAATTGATGGATGACTTTGTTAAATTTTACTCTTTTATCAGAGATGGTAATCTTCCAGATATAGTGAACAATGGAAGTTTGCACGAGTTCCTGGTTGGTTTGCATGAGAGATATGGGCCTGTGGTTTCTTTCTGGTTTGGCAGGCGTCTTGTGGTTAGTTTGGGCACTGTGGATGTACTGAAGCAGCATATCAACCCCAATAAGACATGTAAGTTAAATGTCTATTAGTTGATCCTTATCTTTTAAGAATAAATGTTTATGAAGAAGTATATGTTATTCTTAGGTAGGATTAGCTAATATTTAGTGAATGTTTTATACTGTGTACTAGTCATTGTGCTGAAATCTTTATTACACACTTAAAACTCAGTATTGTAAAAGTGTTTTTTTTCTTTTATTTATAGATTACACAATAAAATGTAAATTATTGTAAGATCTTTTGATGGTTCAGAAAATAATAAAAAGTTTCTGCACAGCAAAGAAAATAATTAAGAATGAGAAGAGAAAACCTACAGRATGGGAGAAAATCTTTGCTGGCTACTCTTTTGATTGAGGATTAAAATCCAGAATATGTAAAGAACTCAAAAAGTATAATATCAAAAAAGCAAACAACCCAATGAATAAATGTATAAATGAACTAAACAGACATTCTTAAAAGAAGAAATACAGATGGCCAATAAATATATGAGAAAATGTTCATCATCATTAGCAATTAGAGAAATGCAAAACTACACTGAGATTTCATCTCACGCCAGTTAGAATGGCACTCATCAAGAGCATGAACAATAAGAAATGCTAGTGAGGATGTGGAGAAAAAGAACTTTTACTTTGTTGGTGGGATTGTAAATTAGCACAACCACTATGAAATCAGTATGGAGGTTCCTCAAAAGACTAGGAATGGAACCACCATATGATTCAGCAATACCACTCCTTGATACTTATCCTAAAAAATTTGAGTCAGCATACTATAGCAACATATACATACAGATGTTTATAGCAGTACAGTTTACCAGCCTAAGGTGTTCATCAGTGGATGAATGAATAAAGAAAATGTGGTGCATCTACATAATAGCATAAAGAAGAATGAGATTATGTCATTTGCTTGAAAATAGATGGAACTTGAGAACATTAAGTGAAATAAGCCAGAATCAGAAAGTCAAGGGTCACATATTTCTCTCATATGTGCAGGCTAGGGAGGACAAAAGAAAAAGAAAGGTTGTGAGGGATCTTATGAAAGTAGAAGGGAGATTAGTGGAGTAGAGGAAAAGGACGGGGGGGGGTGTTAGTGGGGTGGGGGGGGAGGAGGTGAAGGAAAGGGAAAACACCATGGAATGATATTGGCCAAATTATTATGTACATGTACAAATATATAACAGGCCCATGATTGTGTACAATTATAATGTACCAATAAAAATGTGGAAAAAATAATTCCAGATTAAATGCTTTATACTGGAGGGGGGAGTTCCTGGGTGCATCTGGAAGTGTAAAATGTACATAAGCAGCCAGGGTAAATCTAAAAAAGATATTAATAAAGAAAAACTTTGTACCATCAGATAATATAGTATATAGTAAAGCTATATTAATTTAAAGAATCTTGTTCTGTGATAGGATTAGACAGATTGATGGGGTAGAGGAGGTAATTCATAAGCAAATAAGACAAATCAAATACAAAGGATAAAGGTAGCATTTTGTAACAAAAAATAAMGGGTCATAAATGTTTTTGGGAATCTGATTAGCTAGTTGACTCTTGAACTGTTCACATTTTGGAAAGATTGTTAAAGAAGTGTGAAAAAAATTGTACTCTGCTCTATCATCCCTTGCTTCCCTATTTCTTTATTTTTTTTTTTGCTAGACATATTTGTTGGGTTTTTATTTTGAGGTGATTATTTTTATTTAGATATAATCTCTCTGTTTCAGTGGACCCTTTTGAAACCATGCTAAAGTCATTATTGAAATACCAATCTGACAATGGGAGTGGAAGTGAAAACCATCTGAGGAAAAAATTGTATGAAAATAGTGTGACTAAGTCTCTGCAGAGTAATTTTGCTCTCCTCCTGAAGGTAAGGTGCTCTGTAGTTTGGTCTGATGTTCTGCAATGTAGAGAATAGTGTATTTTTAAACTGTTGGTGTGCCCTGACTTTGCCACTCTTCTTTCACCTGTTTTTCTAAGCTGATTTTTATTCTCCTGAAATTTTAAAACAAAACCAACAAAAGAACACATGCCCACAAAAAAAAAACCCACAAAAAAAACATCTGAACATCTAGACTCAGTGTGTAAGTCAGAGTGATGGGAACAGAGAATATATGAAGTTTTATCCATTTTTCCATTGTTTTTAGGCCAGCTTCTAAAGCCAGTGTTTGCTAAAGCATGATCTGAAATCACTTAAAACAATCCCTTAAAAAAAGAAAGAAAGAATTTATGGCATTTGCCAGTAAATGGATAGAAATGGAGAATATATTGATAAATGAAATTAGTCAAACTCAAAGGTCAAATGTTTTCTCTCATATGTGGAAGCTAGAGTAAAATAAAGAAAAGGGGGAGGGAAGTGTAGGATAACATAAAGAACCAATCAAATATAAATTAATAGACAAGTGAAAGGAAGTCTAATAGAGTAGAGGAAGGAGAATGGGAGAGGGGAAGAGAACAGAAGGGAAAGGGGGAGACCATGAACTGAAATAGATTTCCATGTGTGAATGAGTTTATTGGGATGAACCCAACTACTGTGTATAACTATAAAGCTCCAATAAAAATATACGTATTAAAAGACAAAAAARGTCCCTCAATAAAAACGCAGATTACTGGGTTTCTACTTAAAGATGCTGAATCCCTGAGAGACGGGGCTGACCATTTATAAGAAGTTCCAAAGTCTGAGAACCAGAATAGTAATCCATAGCATTTTACTTTTGTCACTCAAGATCTTTCTGAGCAGTGTGTTATCTGACATTTCTCGGAATTTCCACAGGAYTCTTCCAAACCTTAACCCTTATTTTAGTACTGCCAGTCATACCCAACCCCTTGCTTGCCGTAGATTTCTTGCTTTACTGAGGTGAGAGCCCCTAAAATGTGGACTCCTTCAGTGTCCTATTCCCACCAATAGACTTTAGTCATCTCAGTCCTTTTTTTGTTTGTGGTGCTGGGGATTGAACCCAGGACCTTGTGCATGTGAGGCAGGCACTCTACCAATTGAGCTCTACCCCCAGCCTATTTCAGTCCTTTGTTCCATCTGATCTTACACCATAAGAAATCCTCCTCTCCCCCCAGTGCTAGGGATTGAATCCTGAGCCTCACATATGCCAGGCAAGCACTTTACCACTAATCTGTGCCCTCAACTCGCAGAATCCCTTTTCTTTTCCAAAGCTARCCCATCCATCTATGCCTTCTTTAATGAATATAATTTATAAAAGTATTGTTTGGTTACTGTAGTAAACATGGAAAATCTAACATAAAGAAATTACCCATGGGGCTGGGGTTGTGGCTTAGCAGTAGAGCACTCGCCTCGMATGTCCAAGACCCTGTGTTCAATCCTCAGCACCACATAAAAATCAATAAAGGTATTGTGTCCAACTACAACTAAAAAATAAATATTAGAAAAAGAAGTTACCCACAATTTCACTGTATCACAATATATGAATATTAATATTGAGATCATACTGTATACACAATTTTACATATTTTTTACTTCAAAACATACAATAAGCATTTTTTCATTTCATTAACATTTTTCCAAAATAACTTTAAAATTGTTTTTTATTATAGTTATTTTATAAAGTAGGGTAAATTTTAGATGAATCCAAAGGAAAAAATAGCATTTTTAATGCTATTCATCATCCAGTAAGAACCATGTTTAACATTTTTTGAATACTTTATAATGTTCCAGTGTTTTCTTTGCACAATAGAATTTTAGTGTGATCAGCATAATACTGTATGAATAAACTCTGCATTTTAAATTTACAATTGTATTATAAATTTTTTGTGATAGTCTTATTTGAAAATCACATTTGAGAAGAATCTCTAATAATAATTTGACCTCCTTATTATCTTCAAATTGGTCTAGTCTTCATCACACTGCTACTGCTRTAGCTTAAATTTTCATAATTTGTTTTTAACCTGAATTGGTTGTTCCTCTCCTTTCTTTGTGGCTCCCTCTTCCCATCTGTTTTCCATCCTCTGCAGGGGTTCTTTTTTTTTTTTTTTAGATGTTGATAGACACAATACCTTTATTTATTTTTATGTGGTGCTGAAGATCGACCCCAGTGCCTCACACTTGCTAGGCAAGTGCTCTACCACTGAGTTAACAACCCCAGCCCTCTGCAGAGGTTCTTTTTATGACATAAACTCCTGGTGATTTAATGAAACCTTTGGACTTCACTCAGAATAATTTTTTCTCCCTGCCCTGCTCCCCGTGCTGAGCATGGAACCCAGGGCCTTTTAGTATGCTGGGCAAATGCTCCACAATTGAGTTGCATCCTCAGCCCTGAGAATAACATTTTAAAATAATTAGCTACAAAGGAAACCAATGCAGTCATCAAAGTGTTATTTTTTTAAATACTTGTGATCTTATAATATACATACATCTTTATTAATATATTAAATAACATGTAAGTGCTTCCAAAAACTTCTGTGACTTTAAAGTAGTATGTTCTGAGGGATAAAACCATGAATTTGAGATTTTTATAATAACTATGATACAATGTTTAAGTATTTTGAGATTTGTATTGGTTAAAAAATCAAAGGGTTTATAGTCATAATTGAGGAAAAGATAAATTTTACGTAAGAGACTAGAGAAAAATAAATTTTCCTCTCATCTAAGTTCGTGGACCTGTGGATTCTATGTACAGACCCTTTGGAAGCTGTAGATTCTAGGTCTAGAACCCTTTAGAATAGAAACATTCAAAATACACCTCCTACTATTCCCTTCACAAAAATCTTCAGTTTTCTCTGTGTTCTTGGGAAAAACTCCAGAGTTCTTAATGTAGTTTTGGAGAGTATGTATAGTTWGCATGCCTACCTTTCCAGCCCCGTTTCCTGATCCTCTTTTGTGTGTATACTCTAGCCCTACTTGCCTTTTATTTCTTCAGACATATCTTTTTCTCTTTTTCAGGGCCTCTGTATATGCTGTTTCCATGGCCTGTAATGTCTCCCTAATCATCCACACATCTAGTTAATGCATGTGTATTCTTCAGGTCCTAGTTTATTTATTTACTTATTTTTGGTACTAGGGATTGAACCCAGGGGCACTTTACCACTAAGCTACATCCTGTCCCTTTTTCCATTTTTTATTTTGAGACATTGTCTCAAAATAACAGTAAGTTGCTGAGGCCAGCCTCAAACTTGGGATACTCCTGCCTTAGCCTCCTGAGTCTCGGGGATTACTGTGCCCAGCCAGGTCCTACTTTATTTTTTTTTTCTTATTATTATTTTTAATATTTATTTTTTAGCTTTAATGGACACAATATCTTTATTTTATTACTATGTGTTGCTGAGGATTGAACCCAGTGCCTCATACGTGCTAGATGAGCATTCTACTCCTGAGCCACAACCCCAGCCCCCAGGTTCTGCTYTAAATGTCACTTTCCCAAAGAAGCTGTCTCTGATCATCCCACCATCCCTTTTCAGGTGCTATCATGACACACTGCCTTTCTTTCACATCWTTTTTCCCAGTTTGTATTGTGTGTGTATGAGAGGTGGGCTCAGAATTTAACCCAGGGCCTTATGCATGTCCAGCAAGTGTTCTACTACTGGGAAACATTCCCAGTCTGATTTGTAATTCTTTTAGTGTATCACTGAAGTTTGTATTTCTTGAAAGCAGGGACTATTCTGATTACTACTATATATTTGACTTTTGGTGTAGAGCAGGCTCTTAGTAAATGTCTATTAAATCACTGACTAAACACTGGTCAGTTTAAAGTTCCTCCGTTCTTTAACTCTTCTTTTAACTTCCATGGGTCTATTCTCTTATTTTCTTCTCTGAAACATTTTTCCAAACCCTCCCTGGCTAACTCTACTCAAACCTCCAGTGTAGTTAAGTATATTCTCCCTGTGTACCCTCTCTAAACTTCCATAACAACCTGGGTATACTAACATAGCAAGAGTAATCAATTTTCTCCTCTTTCTTTCCCATCTTCGATTATTTTCCTTCCATTTTCCTAATATTATACTTGAAACAAAGCTTTTTATTGTTGTATATTTATGTAGCTTTTTGGAAAGATAGCATTATAGTATAGTGAAAGACTGTTAAGCCTGGGCATCAGGTAGCAGAGGCTTTGCGCCTTGCTATTATTTGGTATCTGCATGATCTTTWTGCATACTTGACCCTTGTTTTTGTTTCTCCTCTCCAAATTGGGGCTAAGAACATCGACATTACAAATCGTGGTGGGGATTCTATGAGATAATCATGTACAACACCTAACAACAGGTCCTAGGACCTAGTAACCACTCAATACCTTTCCTTGCCTTTTGTGTGACAAGTAGTTTTTCCTGTCGTGTATTTGCTGGCTGCCTCTCCTCCACATTCTTCTGTTCTATGAACATTTCTCCTTGCTTATATTTTTTCTGATCCTCTGAAATGACACCTCTTTATCAAAGTTTCTAACTCAGATAGTGTGTTTTCCTCTTTCAGCAGAATTGTTAGTGTCTCATTTGGAGGGTTATATTGAAGTTTGTGTTCTAYAGAGATTGAACCTACATTTACTCAAAAATGTACAAACACACCCAACTCRTTTTCACATTATATAGATTAGTAAATTTTTCAGTATTGGAAAATTTTGAAGAAGCAAAAACAGAGAGACTGGCATAATGACCATTCATGTGCTCATCACCAAACTTTAATAGTTATTAATTTTCATTCAGTGTTACTTTATTTATACCCTTACTTATCCTGTCTTCTTTAGGTTATATTAAATCAAATCTCAGACATAATACCAATGCAGACATGATATTTAAAGGCCTTAGCAATATTTAGCAGGTAGTAGACACATGATGAGTTTCCATTTCTTTTCTTTCTACTCTTCTATAACTTTGTTTATTCCTCCTAAAAATGTTCTGCCTGTACAGTATAAG